GGCGGCCCAGCCAAGCGCCCCACCTGGCTTGAAGGAGCATGTATTCCAGCATCATGACGGGTTTCACCAACAGGGTCGTGTGCAGCGTTACGGACCCCAGCAGCACCATCATGAGCAACACGAGGCGAGGGACTTCAGCAACACGACCGTGAGCAGCGCGACGACTTCGTTGCCGTGTTTCGGGCCTTGGGGTTATCGCAGATCGAGTTGGCTCGGAAAATGCAACGGAAAGATGGGGTCTACTAGCAACGCCACCCCGACCAACGCGTGCGAGAAGGACTGGCAGGAGCAGTGGCAGCCCGGCCCTGGCGCTGCTCCGAGAGATGGTGGGAGTGAAACCGGAGCCCAACATCATCCATTCCAGCACCCCGATCAGTGCGTGCGAGAAGGACTGGCAGGGGCGGGGGCAGCCAGCTCCAGCGCATCTCAGCTAGACCTTGGGAGTGATCCGTTATAAATTGCTACAGCATTTGCGACAGCACCCCGGTCAGCACTTGAGGTACGAACGCGCACAGCGAGATGCTGATTGTTGAGTTGGGGCCCGCCATCATCCGCTGCAAGGCCGCGATCAGCGCGTGTGAAAAGGAGTGGCAGGTGCAGTGGCAGCTGGCCCTGGCGCCGCTCTGAGAGATGTTGGGAATGAATCTGGGGCCCATCGTCATCCGTTACAGCGCTCCGGTCAGTGCGCGCGACAAGGTCTGGCAGGGGGCTGTGGCTCATGGCCCTGGCGCTGCTCCGCCAGATGGCGTTGGTGGTGCTGGGGCCCGCCATCATCCGCCCCAGCGCCCCGATCAGCGCGTGCGAGACGGACTGGCGGGGGCAGTTGCAGCCGACCCTGTCACTGCCCGGCAAGATGCAGAGTAAAAGTTGGAGTCCGCCATCATTTGCGACTGCGCCCCGATCCCCGATCAGCACGCGCGAGAAGGGCAGGCAGTGGCAGTGGCAGCCAGCCCTGTCGCCGATCAGCGAGATGCTGCAAGTGAAGCTGGACCCCGTCATCATCTGCTACAGCGCCCCGGTCATCGCGCGCGAGAAGAACGCGCAGGCGCGGTGTTAGCCGGCTCGGGCGCTGGTCAGCGAGATGCTGGGGGTGGAGCTGGGGCTCGCAATTATCTGCGACTGCGCCCCGATCAGCATGGGCGAGACGAGCGGGCGGAGGCGCCGGCGGCTGGCCCTGTCGTTGCGCTTCGAGGCGCTGGATGCGAAGCTGGAGCCCGGGCAACCCCTGCACGTCATCTGCTGCGGCGCCCCGCGGAACGCGTGGGTAGCATCCCCGAAACATCATCTGTTGCAGCGTCCCCGACCCATCATTTGTCATTGCAGACAGTGGCAGCCGGGCCTGGCCGAAGCGTCGACTGCTGCGCGCCCTCATTGCCATTGATCGTCTGCCGCGTACCTAGTGTGATCTTTGAATCAAGGGATGGGGGCGCCGAGGGGGGCGTCGGGGGTGGCCGTGTGCGTGGGTGGGTGGGTGGGTGGGTGGGTGGGGGGGGGCGTCGAGGTGCAAGGGGCCGTCGACGTGGCCGCGGATGTGGGCATCGATCGGGGTCCGAGGGGGCGGTCCGCGCAGTGCTGGCGTCCAGCGATGCTGGGGGGCTGGGGGGCCCAGTGCTCTCCGGAGGTGCCGCTTGCATCGCGGCGGTCGGCGGCGAGGAGGTGCAGGGGCAGGGCGGCGACGCCCTGAGGCTTGTTCCGATTCCTGCGCGCGCCAATCTTTTCGACGCTGCGCCGACAATCTTGTTGATGTTGATGTTATGCCGCCTGTCGATGCCGTGTTTGCTGTGGGCCCTCGTTGCCGTTGGGCAGGTTTGTTACGTGCCTTGTTGGATCTTCGAATCAAGGGATGGGGATGGCGAGGGGGGCGACAAGGGGGTGCCCAGTGAGGGGGGGGCGTCGAGATGAAGGAGGCCGTCGACGTGGTCGCGGAGGGGGGGTTCAAGGAGGCGGTCCGCGCAGTGCTGGCGTCCAGCGATGCCGGGGGGCGGGGGGGTGGGGGGTCCGGTGCTCTCCTGAGGCCCTGCCTGCGTCGCGGCGGTCGGCTGCGAGGAGGTGCGGAGGTGGGGCGGCGACGTCCCGGAGCTTGCCCCCAAGCTCTCGCGCGCCAGTGTTTTCAATGTTACACCGCCAATCTTGTCGATGTTCTGCCGCTGGCCGCTGCCCGACGACGGCGTCCCAGACGCGGCCCTGCGCCGCCTTGTTGTTAACGGCCGCTCTGCGCCGCCGCGGCGCGCGATGCCCGGCCGCCGCAGCGTGGGCCCCGTCGAGCGCCGCGGCAGCGGGCGGTCGCGCGAGGGCGGGGAGAGCCCCGCGAGTCAATTGGCCCAACGTCCCTCGTGGGCGGACCGCGAGGACGACGCCGCCGATTCCCCGACAGGCGCGGACTCACCTGCAAGCTCCCTGGCGTCTTCCTGGTCCGAGTCGGCCAGTGAGACCAGAGGTGCGCGATCAGAGGGTCAGAGTCCTCTCGCGCCGGCTGTCTTGCCGACTACGTCGCGGCTGGCAGACAGGCAGCGTCGCTGCGGGCGGTGGAGGCAGTGGCGCGCGACAGACGCGCGCCTCCCGCTCGTCCCCCTCCGATCGTGACCCGCGCGGCCGCGGCGGAGGCGCTGCCGCGGGGCGGGCCCGTCTCGCCCAGCTAGGGCAAGGCGTCCTCTGGATGGTAGTCAAGGATGCGTGGGCTGACTCCCCGTGGACTCGCGAACGCTGGGATTGTTTCACCCAGGACTGCAGGGGAGAATGGATGGGGCGAGCTCGCCCAGAAATTGTCCCGCGACAGGCCGTGATCGACTTCCTGTGCTCCCAGCCAATGCGCGGGCGGCGACCGACTGGCGCTCGCGCCCCGCCGGCCTCGGCAGGACTGATTGGGCGGGCCGAAGGAAGCGAGGGCCCTGGTTCGGCCGGGCACTTGGCTGGCATGGCGGGGGCCGCCAAGGAGCGGCTCGTGGCTCGTGTCGAGCGGCTGGGGGGCCAGAGCGATATTGCTTGGGGAGCTCGCTGCGCGCAGCGCGGCGGCAACGCGCTGGGCCCGTGGTTGCGTGGTGCGAGCTTCCTGCGCGATGTCCTCGCAGCGCGTGTAGGGCGCCGCGGTGCAGCTTCCTGATTCGGGCGGTCATGCGACCGACGTATATTGATCTGTCGCTGTTTGCTTTGTCGCGCACGCACGCGCTCGCGCGCGCGCGCCGATAAGTCGCTCTTGTCACGCGCCCATGCGTCGGCTGCTGTGCCCCGTTGCTCACCGATTTGTCGCTTTGGGCGCGCGCCGCTTTGTCGGCTTCGGTTCTGCCGTGTTTCGCGTGTCCTTGCTTCTGCCGCTCCTGGCGTTTGGCCCCGTGGCTTTTTGTTTTCTGTCGAAGGTGGTGTGGCGTTCCTGTCACCTTCCGGCGGCGCTCCTCCCCGTGGTGGCTCGTCGGCCCCCCCCCCCCTCGTGGGTCGCCGGGTTTGCTCGGTCGCCGTCGTGGTCGGTCGCGGGCTCGGCCGTGTCGTGGGGCCCCCCGCCGTCTTCTTTGCGGGCTCCCCTCCTGCCTGCCCTGCTTGTTCCCCCCCTCCCCTTCTCCCCCTCCTTCCGGGTCGTTCCCGCCGCGGGGGTTGAGCTGTTTTGGTGCCTGGAGTTCTGTCTTTCCTGGCGTCTTCAGGGCCCAGCTCCGTGTGGGTGGGCTTCCTGGGGTGGTCTTGCGTTTGCCACCGCCGGGGTCTGTCCTGCATGTGGTGCTTCTATTATGGTTCGGCGTTTGTTCTTCAACTGGGCCTTCTGCGATGCTCGCGGCGGCTTCCGCGTCTTGTCTGAGACGTCTTTGGTCGACTTGGTGGCGACCTTGACGGCGGCGCAGAGTGCACCTCGCATCTCTATTTCCGTTGTTCGAGCGGTGCCCTACCAATCTATTTTTGTCCGCGCCTCCATTGCAGGCTGTTTTCGGCCGGATTGGGCGTGTCACTGGCATTGGCCCGTTTTGGGGGTGCGTGTTGTTCTGCCACCACCCATATATAATTTCACTTGGTTTGGTTATTCATTGGGTGTCGTCGGTTCGTAGGTTAGCACCTTACCCATCTGTTTCGCCATTCGTTCTAGAACTTTTTTCTTGGCGCTTCAGTTTATACGAGTTGAGCTGCTCCTCGTTTTGTTGGGCGCTGCACTTTGGCTTTGCAGCGCCGCGTGCCCTTTTCACCAGCTTTCTGCACTGCCGTTTTTTTTTTTTTTTTTTTTTTTTTTTTTTTTTTTTTTTTTTTTTTTTTTTTTTTTTTTTATAAAAAAAAAATTTTTTGTTTTGTTGTTTTTTTTTTGTTTGTTTTGTTTTTTTGTTTTGTTTTGTTTTGTTTTGTGTTGTTTTGTTTTGTTTTGTTTTGTTTTGTTTTGTTTTGATATATATATATATATATATATATATATATATATATTCATATATTATATTGATTATTATTGCGGCGATTTCAGGGGTGTCAGGTGCAATGTAGTCCAACCCTGGCTGACACATTAGGGTCCTGCATGGTAGTATGATGTTGTAGCGAGCTGCAGGGTCATCTGGTAGAGGAATGCCCCGCCAGATTTTGATTCCCGTTGCTCTGTGTCAGCACTGGTGATCTGTCGGTGATGCTTTGGCTCAAGTCAAAAGGATGTTTCAATCCGTTCGGCTGACGCCCACTCCGCGCATGGTAGCCTGGAGCCGTGGTTGACACGATCGACGAACTGTGGTCGACACGATAGAGAGCGTGGCAGTGAACACGATAGAGGTCGTGGTCGACACGATAGAGAGTGGAGTGAACACGATAGAGGTCGTGGACACGATAGAGAGCGGTGTGAACACGATAGAGATCGTGGGCACGATAGAGAGTGATGGAGGCGCTGACGCAGAGGCTGGCCCAGCTCGAAGAGCAACAGCGGCAGCAGCGTACGGTGATCGAGACTCAGCAGAGGCAGCTCACGGCGGCGCAGAATGAGCTGGCGGCGGTGCGGGCAGCAGGCGACGGCGCGGCAGCCCAGCAGCCAGCAGGAGAAGCACGAGCAGGCGCGCCGATCTCTTTGGTGGACCTGCGAGTTGGCAACAAGCCCGAGATCTTCACAGGCGAGGCCAAGGAGTGGAAGAACTGGTCGTTCAAGATGCGTCAGTACCTGTCGGCGATAGACGAGACGCTGCACGCGGAGGTGCTCGACGTGGACGCGAACCCGACGAGAGAGCTCACGATGAACGACATGGCCGCCGAAACCCAGAGGAGAGCCAGGCAGCTGGCGTTCATCCTCACCATGCACACGAAGGACGTAGCGTTGCAGATGGTCACGAAGCTACCAGATCCCAGCAACGGCTACGAGATCTGGCGGAGGTTCTTGGAGGAGTTCGAGCCGGCCCACAAGGGCCGCTTCAGGGCGATGCTGATGCAGATCCTCCAGTACCAGTTCACAGGTGACCGTGGACTAGCCATCGAGGAGTTCGAGAGGCTCGTCAGGCAGTACGAGGCGCAGTCTGGCGACATCCTCCAGGAGACCATCAAGGCGGCGGTGATCTCGAACAACCCTGAGGACCCTGAATGGAGGAGACACGTCGGCCTCAACGCGACGAGATTGCAGGACTACGCGTCGCTGAAGGACGAGTGGAAGGCGGTTCACCAAGCGGAGAGGCGTTGGGGTGTCGATGGCGACTCGGCTCCCATGGAGGTGGACGCGCTTACCTCGAAGGGCAAGGGCAAGGATGGCGGTAAAGGCAAGGGTAAGGATGGCGGCAGAGGCAAAGGCAAAGGAGATGGCAAGGGTAAGGACGGCGGCAGAGGCAAAGGTAAGGGAGATGGCAAAGACAAGAACAAAGGCGAGGCCAGCAAGAAGGAGAGGAAGTGTTTCTTCTGCAGAGAGAAGGGCCACGAGCGCAAGGATTGCCCGAAGTTCACCGCGTGGCTCGAGGAGAAGAAGAAGGCGGGACACGCTGGAGGCTCGGGGACGGCCGCGGCGCTCAACACGGTGCAGCAGGACGACGGCTGGGTGTTCATGGTTGACGAGGAGTTCGAGGGCGACGAGCTGTGCGAACTCATCATGGTCGACTCAGGCGCCTCGGCAAACGTATGTCCTCGAGACCACGTGCCCGAGAACGGCCTGCGAGAGGAAGCACGTCCGAGGCGCATGACAACGGCGACTGGCGAGCTGATTGCGCAGCATGGGCGACGTCGGGTTTCATATGAGACGGAGTTCGGTAAGATCACGACGGACTACAGGGTGCTAGACGTGAAGAGGCCGATCTGGTCGCTGGGCGCGATGATCGAGTCGGGGTGCGACGCCTACTTCACGAAGAGCAAGTCGTGGATCGTCAAAGATGGCAAGGAGTTGGAGCTGATCAGGAAGGGCAACTTGTTCTACGCGATCGCTCGGCCTTCGAAGATCGGAGGCTCGAACGCGCTGGAGCTCAACCCTTTGACGCAGGCGGAGATCGAGCAGAGAGCGCTGGCCAGAGAGCACGCGGCGTTCGGGGCGGCTGGACCAGCAGCCGAGGCCACGCTTGCAGAAGATGGGGATCCAGCAGTTCGCATCAAAGTGCCGACAGGACCTGCCACGCCGACGGCAGAGGAACGGGCTCAACACGAGTCCGCGGGGCACGTGCCCTACAGGAGCTGGTGCAGTCACTGCGTGGCGGCGAGGGCGGCGGACAAACCTCATCGACGAAGCGAGGACCCGACGGGCCTGAGCGCAGAGGAGGCAGCGATCCCACGCATCGAGTTTGACTTCGCGGAGATCGGACGAGAATCAGATGCAAGCCCTGGCATTCCGTCCCTCAACGGAGTAGACGTCGGGTCGGAGAGCTTGTCGGCGACTCTGTGCCCCAGCAAGGCCTTCAGCGAGTACCTGGTGGAGACGATCCTGGCGTTCGTGGACGCGCTGGGCCACAACGCGGTGCTGCTTCACTCGGACCAGGAGCCAGTGCTAGTGCAGTTGCTGAAGGCGGTGCAGAGCAAGAGGGTGAAGCGGACTCTGGTCAGGCATGGGCCGAGAGGCAGCCACCAGAGCCAGGGCAAGATAGAGGGCGCCAACAGGGTCATCAACGGCGTCCTGAGAGCGATCTGGATCAACATGGAGGAGCACATGGGCGAGAAGGTGTCGACCGACAGCATCCTGATCGCCTGGGGGGTCAGGCACGCGGCATGGAGCTTGACGAGGTTCCAGGTGAAGAGCGACGGCCGAACCCCCTACGTGCGGATCTTCGGCAAGGCCTACGGCGGGGAGGTGCTTCCCTTCGGCGAGCGCGTGATGTACAAGTACACGGCGGTGCCCAGCGGCAACCTGGACCAGAAGTGGGCGCACGGGGTGTGGGTCGGCAAGGCACCGCTGACGGACGAACACCTCGTCCTGACCGTGGACGGCGTGAAGAAAGCGAGATCGGTACATCGACTGCCAGTTGACGAGCGGTACGTAAAGGAGGAGCTGGCGAAGGTGAAGGGTCTGCCGTGGAACGGCACGGCATCGGATCTGAAGGCGCCGATCGTGTCGCAGCAGGACCAGGGGCCATCAGGGCACAGGAGGCTCTACCTGACGAGGGCGATCGTGCAGAAGTACGGGCCTACGCCTGGGTGCTCGGGCTGCGCGGGGCTGGGGCCACATACCGAGGTGTGTCGAGCGAGGCTGGAGAAGATGGTGGCAGACGCGGCGGCAGGGCCGAGAGGCATCGCAGTCGGCACGCCGCTGGCGGCGAGACCAGACCCAGGGCCGCCCGCAGGCGCTGCAGAACCATCGTCGGCAGCGAGCGGCGACGCTCCCAGGACACCAGCTGGGGGCGACGGCAGCGGAGGAGTCGCGGCCGAGAACATGGAGGTTGACAGAGCGGACGCTTCGACACAGAGAGGTAGGCCCGCGGCGGTGGCCTTTCCGCAGGAGGCCCCCGAGCGCCCGACGGCGAAGGTGAGGTCTCAACCCCCTGTGGCGATCCCAGCCGTGGGAGGCGCAGGCACGGTCGTCGTCAGCGAGAGCGAGGCGAGGTCCAGCACAGACGACGTGATGATCGGGGGCCTGCACGTGATCGATGGCGTGGACGTGGTGGCGATGCTCATCCCAGAGGAGGACGAGTGGAGGCTCGCGGCGATGGACGACGGCAACTTCGAGACCACCACCGACGACAGCCAGAGCGACATGATCGGCGAGGTGAACTACGAGGACACCGCGTCGGCGGAAGGGATCGTGGCGTACGACTCGAGGACTGGCGAGCAGCTGGACAGCGAAGAGGTGCGCAAGGGGAGGTCCAAGGAGCTGCGCGACCTGGCGGAGTTCGAGGTGAAGATCGAGGTGGACGAGTCCGAGATGATCAGCAAGCCAGGGAAGAAGATCTGGTCGAAGTGGGTGGAGACGCGGAAGGACCCGAACAGCGCCGAGGTCAGGAGCAGGCTGGTCGCAACCGAGATCAACACAGGCGAGGTTAGGACGGACTGCTTCGCTGCGACGCCGCCGTTGAAGTTCGTGAGACTGATACTGGCGTGGGCGGCGAGTTACAGTCCCAGAAGGAACAGCGCGGGGGTCAAGATGATCCTGTTGCTGTTTGACATCTCTGTGGCGTTCTTCCACGGCCTGGTGCGGAAGGTCCTGTACGTGGTACCGCCGAAGGACCTGCGCAAGAAGGGCAAGGTGTGGAGGCTGCTTCGGAGCCTATATGGAACGAGGGACGCGAGCCAGGTGTTCCAGACGTACGTGGCGGACAACCTGAGCGAGCACGGCTTCGACAGGAACGCGGTGGTCCCGTGCTTGTACTGGAGTAGCGAGCTGGAGGCGCTGGGGGTTCACTGGGGCGATGACTTCATCTACGCCCTGCCGAACGACAGCGCCGACGACCTCGAGCAGCTGATGAGGGAAGTGTTCAAGGTGAAGATCTGCGAGCGCGTGGGGCCCAACTGCAAGTCCAGTGCGGCGTTTCTGCACAGGACGCTTTCATGGAGTTCGAAGGGTTTCACCTGGGCGCATGACCCGACTCACACCGTGGCGATGGCCAAGGCTTTCGGCTTCGACGGGCAGACACGCTTAGACCAGGAGAAGTGGGTCGTGACGGTCGCGCCGGGCTCCAAGACGGTGGGCAAGACTCGTGATGCTGCAGACCCCCTTGACGAAGAAGGAGCAGCACTATACCGAGCACTCGTGGGGACGGCGCTCTATGTCGGCCAAGACCGTCCCGAGGCGCAGTACGCGACAAAGGAAGTCGCTCGCCACATGTCGACGCCAACGAGATCGGCGTGGTGTGCCCTCAAGCGATTGTGCAAGTACTATTCGGAGGTGCCGTTGCTCGTGTGGGAGTTCAATTACCAGAAGATGCCAGAGGACGTGAGAGTGGTCACGGACGCGAACTGGGCTGGCGAGCTGGAGGCATTGCGTTCTACCTCGGCTGGCTGGGTATACTTCGGAGGCCACCTGCTCGAAGCCTATTCCTCGACGCAGCAGATAGTGGCCTTATCGACGGCGGAGAGCGAGTACATATCAATAACAAAAGGAGCTGCACATGCATTGGAGGTCAGGAGCGCGCTCGCCGAGTACGGCTGGGTCAAGAAGGTGATCTGCGAGGCGGACTCGTCAGCTGGACGGTCGATGGCCACAAGACGTGGCGTGGGTCGAGTGCGTCATCTATACGCGCGCCTGTTGTGGCTACAAGAGTTGTGCGCAGACGGCACGATCGAGATGCGCGTGAAGCCTGGGGAGTCCAACGAGGCGGACCTGGGCACCAAGATGGTCGACATACAGAGGGTGACCAAGTTGATGAAGACTACGTCGCTGCGGCCTCCTGGGGGCTGGGGCTGCTGGGTTGTGGCAGCGGCGCTGGAGAAGGCGACTGCAGCAAACGACTGCAGCGTCGACTTGGTCAAGTACGACGGGGAGATGGATCGGACCAGCAGGAGTGTCTTCGAGAGCTGGGTGCTGGTAGCCCTCATCGGCATGGGCGTGCTCTCGTTGATCCTGGGGCTCGCGTGTGGCTATGCCGTGGGAAGGTGCTGCTCGCCGAGGAGCGCCACTGGCGAACGGCGCAATGTGGAGTCCACGCAGACGGAGGAGCTCGAGATCATTCCGTACTGGGAGTGGCTGCTGAACGACCTGCAGAAGGAGCTGCACTCCAGGGGCGTGAAGGCGATCCCGAAGCTGAAGGGCCACTGCATCCAGAAGCTGTTGGAGATTGACCAGGTGCGCCTGGTGAGGCCACAGCACTGGCCGCGGGTCAAGAGAGTGAGGCAGTTTTGAACGT